AATTGTATATTTATATAGTATATATTCTATACTATACATAATATTATATTCATTGAAAATTATAATAGTCAATAATAATTTATTATTCTCGCATTTTCAGTAGATCTTTATCAAAACAAGTATGGCCATCGCCATCCCTACTGTGATAGACATATACTGTTTTCAAAAATATCTTAACTATTTTCAAGTTATTTACTATAGACATTTAGAACTATTGTAAGTTCTAAGTTTTTGAAATTTAAATTTTGTAGAAATTCGTAAAAATCACTAAAATTTCCTAATTATTATACCGCAATAGTTAAAAATTAATAAAATGTTTAATTTTAATGTTTAAGGCAGTAAGGATTGAAAATGTAATACAAGATTCCTCATAAGTTTTTTTACTGGGATTTAAAAAAAAATGTTACTTTTAAGCCGCATTAATATTTTATGAGCGTTTAAAATTCAAATTTAGTTCAACCTACCGTATTGGGGTATTACTAATAGAAAAATTAATTACTAATAGCAACTTAAATATATAATAATATATCCCTAGAAATATAGGCCAACAGACCTAGGATTTACCTTTAAATTCCCGGAAATTACCCGTGGGTTTCGGGAATACAACAAAATTAAAACGTATAGTTTTATCTTTTATGTAATTTTGTTTTCCTTATAATAATTAGTAGCTACTTTATATTTTTTAGTTAAAATTTTATATTATAAATTATAATGTAGATATCAGCGTCGAAATAAATATTCGTCGGAAAATTATGAAAATGCTAACTCATTCCAATATTATATTATTTAATTATTGTTTATCAAGACAATGTAGTTGTTAAGTTAAAAGTTTTGTATAAAGCTATTGTGTCTTTTGTTTCAAGTATTAAGTTTTCATAAGGGGATGCAGCTACAACACCGTGTCACAACAGTATATTACCATCAGTTATAATCACTGAAGAACCTTATTCTGATTGATATATATAATCGCTCAGATAAGCTGTTCGATACAGCTCTAATAATATCTTCTATCCTTAAAATGACTACACTTACCAGGGTTTTGATTTTAAAATTAGATATCTATGGCCTAGAGCTGTTAGAATTTTACCTACATAATAAATTCAAGTAGATATTTTAAATTAGCAGTTAAATAGTTAAAACTCATATGACTTTAACGTGCAATGGAAGTATAGATACTGAGGGTATATTAAATTCATATAAGTATCACTTAAAGAACCATAGTTGGTTAAAAATTGTTTAATTATTTAAGTTAAATTTTATCATAAAAAATTGTACTTATGGCATTCCAATGAGAATGGCCCCTCAAAATATTATGTGAATATTATATAGGTGCTGATGGTGAATATAATATGAGAACGCCGTACGTATCTTTGTTTTTAATTTTTTTTTTATCATTTAGGTTTGGTCTATTAAAAAATTAGCTTTGACTACCTACAGATAAAACACTATATATAATATCTAAAAGAGAAATAATAAAGTAATTAACATACTATGTTTACTGTTAAGTAAATATACCTGTATATTTTTTCTCTTGGATTGTTCGACATTCCCAGCCAAATCAGCCAATCCCAAGAATTATCGATGATTGTTACATGTTTCTTTTAATTGAACTGTGTTTATTATATGCTTATATAGTAAATGCATTTTGAATTTTTAAATATTTTAATAAATTCGTTAAATTCATATTTGTTTGATCAAATTTAGATTCTGAGCTGAGCGATATTATACTACACCTAAGTATTTAGCATATTGTAATCCTATTTTTTAAATGATGTTGTTTCTTTTATTTCCAAAAACATTTATCATTTTTACAGTGTAAAAATGCTTCTATCTTCTACAAAGGTCAGAAAATTAGATCTAGTTAGTACATTTGGGGTCAAAAGTAAAATATTCTAGACTCCAGTAATTTTCTCAATAATTGCGGGGAAAAAAACAGAAAATCGGGAATATATATACACAACACCAATTTTTGACAAAATGTATACCATGTTTTTTTTTTTTTGTAATTTAAAATAGAGTAATCATTATTGGAATTAAAAAATATCTAAAATACATCATCACAATTTTTTACTTTAAACGCATTCAAATGTTGACAAAATTCTGAATCATTTGTCATTTTTACGGTGTCCATAATACAAAACCATTATTGACCGGATTACAGCTTAAAAAATTATAAATTTCTGCCCAAAACTCAAAAGTGATATTATCAGTACTTAAATAAAACTGAATTTATCTCTGAAATACATTCTTAACTTAACACGTTTTACTTTTATTTCAAAACTTACTAACTTTTGAGTTCTTACCGAGTTACTGAATATCATACGATTAATTTCATAATATACAGTACATCGACCTACATATTGACGATGTACACTCCACACCTGCTGTATTTGCAAACATTTTCCACATCAGATTTTGGTTTCAAAAACCGGTATTGATTTTTGCCGATTTCAATTTTGGTTTTGAGTTTTGGTATTGATTTTTGTTTAGGTTATGGTTTTTGGTTTTTAACGGTTTTTAAGCTACACATAATATATTTCACATAATATATTTGTTGTCTCTGTCTTGCAAATCCGTGAATATAGCAAATTTACGCTCAGCAGAACACGTTTAACTTCGTTAGTTTAAAAATTAGAGTGAATTGACCTATTATGAAATTTGAAGGTAAGAATATTATCTGTGTTTGCATGTGAATTTTTACGATAATTCAGTTTTTGAATGAGTTATGAGCATTTTTAAATTACTATATATTACATATGTAAGACTTGCCTAAAAACTGAACTGAATCATCCTAAAAGACCCACATACAAACACAGATAATGCTGCTACCATCAAGCTCCATAATTATTAATCTAAACGTGATCTGCTGAGGGTAAATTTGCAATGTGTCTCACTTGTAAGACGGATACAACAAATGGTCGCGTATCGTCCTCTTAAATGCCGGTTTTAAGCCCTGCATTTTTTTTGTTCTCTTGTAATTCAAATTTTGACATCAGATATAGTAATGTACCTAACAGTGGTTTGTCATCTAGCAATGTTTGTTATTTTTCAAAAAATTTTAGATAATCGTAGAAATTTAAAATGATCCATTATTTTTGTTAAATTATAATTTTCTATACTCAATAAAGTTTTAAATATATATACAGACTAATTTTAAACTATATATGTACCATGAACCTATTTATTTTCACCGTTCTACCTTACGTCAATATTGACTTTCAAGTTATTTATAAAAATATGTGATATATTGTTATAATAGTAATATTATTATTGTAATATAATATTCTCAATGTTTTTTGCAAAAATAAGTTCAACTTCGTGCCTACTTTAATAGTAATTAATAATGTATAAATAAATTATAGAATATCATATTCAAAATTGAGACTGACACACCATCTCTGGTCAGAATTGTTTTTCGAATGCAATGGCTTATCATTGATTTAAATTGAACATACCCATTAGGTAGGTACCTACAGCGAGTAATCTCCTACTCAATGACGAAGTATACTCAAAATGTATTACACAACAGAGTGATTTTCCCAAATGTATTCTATAAGAAGTACAAGTTCAACTATAATATGTAATTATATGATTTAATTTATGAGTTTGGACAAATAATTAAATTAATACTATGTCATACCTAATTTTAATATAAAAATGTATTGAAAATTAAAATAATTATTAGGTAGGTACATAGATAATATTGAGATGAAGGTAATTAAATCAATAATTAATTTTGTATGTAGATAATAAGTAATTTTAAGATAAAACTAGATTACATTGAAGCCAACTTATTACAAACACTAATGTGCTCAAAGCAGTGGAACAATAATTATTATGTATTAGTGTATTACATATATTATCAAATACATCAAACTGAAGTATAATATCCCCTTCTGCAGAAATTCTCCCTAAAATACTTCAGAACATTGAAATGTAGATTTAACTTAAACACTAAAGACATTAACCCGGAATGATCAAATATATTAGAGAAAACAGTTCGTTAATCGAAATTTAATACCATTATCATTTATCAACCTTTTATTTAAGGTAGTCAATATTATGACGATTTAAATCAATGCCATAAACGATATTCCTGTTTTGTAACTTAAACACGCATTAATAAATAATAAACGTTATGAATACTATAAATATTATACTTTGAAGAAAAAATAAATTCATTAACGTTAATATACATTAGCCTATCGTGGTTATTACTTATTATTCTTAATTTGCGACTAGTACCTGCCTACCTATTATTATTATTTTTAAATAGCGTAGTGCTGTTCATACCTAATAATTAAAAAACTAATATCTGAATGTAATATGTATTTTTTTGCACCTAATCAAATACCGAACAATAATTATTGTAATTATTATTTAAATATGTAATATGTTGCCATGTTGGATGTACTTACATAATCTTGCAAAATAATTATATAATCTCCGATTGGGTAAGACAGACTATACTATATGTTCATGAAAATAGTTTTTAACAATAGATTTTACCAAAATAATTGTTCGTCATCCAAACGACGAATTGTGGATTATTTTAAATAATCGACAAGTATTTTAATGAAAGTGATCTCGAATGATTTCGTCTTCCTCGAAAAATATAGTAATTGCGATGCATTTTAGTCATGACAATATAAGTCCATAAATAAGTGCAAGTGGGGGAGAATATATAGCCTATATAGTAGGTCTATAAGTCCCCACAAAAAAAAACTGACCAAACACAGCGGGACATTGAAATATATACCACAAGATAATTATTCTCGGATTTCATCTAAATACGCCGCCCCCCCCCCAAAAAAAAAAAAAAATGAAAAAGTGTGCTTATGTGTCAATTACAGTAGGTATTAAAAATAATTAATATATATGTATAAGTACCTATATTAATTATGTAAAAGTTACAAATAGTGAAAATTTATAATATTATAAATAAGAACAAAATAACTATAATCTAATATACAGGTACAACTGAAGTAGTCGTGTCTTACCTTGTAGCATGATGAACAGATAAAAAATGAAAACTTCATTTGAACGTTTCATGCCGCCCATAAACGTCGGTTTGTGACGATGATGGATTTATGACGAACGCGGTGGACAATAATATTAAGTACTTCAATAATATGACATTACTAATGATTTGATTGGCTACGTTCTATTTTCGTACGACTTGCCATATTAAACGATAATACAATAATATAGTGTTTTTAATTATTGTAATATTATTCTTTTTTGCGTACTCCGCGGAGTGGATGAATATAATGCCGAATGATTGTTTTCTTCCGATTTAAATAAATCGCGCGCGCACCTCTTCCTGCGGAACGACGAATTGCATTTAAAATCGTCCGCTTCCGTGTCGTACGCTTTTAAATCCGTCGCCAGCGCATAGTATTATCGCCGATGAGCCTATTTCCGTCGTCGTCGTCGCAGTTATAATATCGTATATTATTATAATATTATATATTATTATTATTATTGTATTGTAGTTATATTTTTCACCCGCGTGCAATATTACTGCGTTGTCGTTATGCTATAATATTGTTATTACTATCGTTTCTTGGTCGGGCCGACGGCCGTGCCGTCGGGTTGCTCGGCAAACTGTGCACGCCGGAACTTCCGATGTTCAGAGGCGCGAAAACAATACGCACAAGTGAACAGCGCTCGCGGGGTCCGGCGCCGTGGTGCGGTAATAGTAATAATAATAATAATAATAATAATAATAATAATAATAATAATACGCCGCGGCGGCGGCGGCGGCGTGCGTCGAGCGTCGTCGACGTACGCTCGTCGGTAAATGTATTATAGGTAGGTAAGGTAGGTGGCTGGTATATACCAACGGCAAAGGTTCGGATCGCGTCGGCTTTTGGCGGGACGCGTCGCGGGGGCGGGCCGGCCGAGTGAATGAAACGTAATCCTATTTTCGTTCCGGTTTCGGTGACATCCGTACGCCCCGGTATTGTGTTATTATTTTTATCACAAAGCAATACGATTATAGGTATACGCGTATCGCAAATACGATATTATAATATTTTATTTTAATTATTTCAAGTGACGAAACGTTTTTGTTTTTTTTTTTATAATAATAGAAACATCGTATTATACTGTATTGTACTTAAATTTAATACCACTACTATAGATAATAACATCTGCTGCCGGGCCTTATTCTGCAGTACACCACGGGGCAGTGAAACCAAAATTGGACATTAGGGAACGCACGTGGAACCTCCGAATACCAAACACTTCTTGGTCACGGAAATTATGCACGGAGGTGTCCGCTATTTAGAGGTGACGGTTTAAGATTGATGTCAAAACTCAAAAGTGTAGCAGATAATATAAGGCGAGTGCTGTTAATTCAAGGGTACAATTATACCCGTCAATATAAACAGTAGCCTCCGCATGAACTGCAGAGACACCGGTTAATTAAGACAACCACTTCATCGGGACAATATTGTTCAATTACCAAAATAAACTTATGATAGTAGTGTAAATGTTCAGCGCTTATGTGCAGGGCCACGATACCGAATAGTAGGGAATTTTTATTCAGTACATTTCGTTATACTATAATATCAATAATTCAAGAGCTTGTTGCAGGTGTGCAACAGTGCCAGAGTCTTTTTCTAACATTCTAAGATATGCATAATAGTTAAAAATGTTCCAAAATATATGCAAAAATATGCAACATTTCATTTTGCATACCAACACATTAGGTCAAGATACAAATATGTGTCTTACCTAGTTGCGTTTTAGTTTAATAAATAAAAATATGCAAAAGCATGAAATTCTATTTTCAAACCCTATTTATTATGTTCTAAAAATATTCCTCTATTTATGTAAAGAAATCAGTAACTAACTTCCAACCATTCTAACCATTCTAAGTACGCGACATAACATTACCACGAGAACAATATTTTAATCTCGGAAAAAATCGATCTTTGTATTATGGACACCGACAGGCAACGGTATTATAATACATCGAATTACCAATTAAATGGTAAAATTAATATTATGCTATCCTTTTTTGATTAAAACTTGCAGATTGTACATTTTCTACACTCGCACGTGAAGGAGTAGTCCATTGTAATTATTTGTAATGACATTGTAGACGGTTATAGTGACGGAATAATTTATTTGTTAGATTATTACGGCGTAAAGCACCAACTACGATTTTTCTTTTCTTCACTGCAGGGCCAGTACTACCGGATTCCAAACCAAACCACGGCTGCAGGTATCGCCGGTTTGGCCAACTCCTATCCACCCCCCAACCATTAACTAACAATGAGAAGATCTTTTGCACGCCACAGCGAGTCACGCGCATACCCTTTCTCTCCGCCGTCGGTGTTTTCCCATCCAATTAGAAACTTTTCACAAGACAACCCAGCATCTCCATCGTAACACGACGATATATCCAAGCAGGCATCCAACAAACTCCTATAAACGACATGACTAGTTATGATATTGGTAGACGTTTGTTATTGCTCCACGTCATATTGCATATGATATACTTTTATATTTATATACACACAATCTACATAAATTAGGTATAATTTATACGCATAAGTGAAAATTTAGAACGGTCTGTCATTGGCAAAAAAGTTGACTTCTTACGATTTTCAGCTGTTTCTGCAATTGTTATCATTTGAAGTCTGTGTAAGATTTGATTTGTGTCGTCAAATGGAGCATTTCTGATTACCGTCGAATGGTTCTGTTCTGTGTTTTTTGAATTTAGTTTATGTTGGAGTTTTTGTCGAAATCCCAAATTTGTACGCCGTGTATGTCCAGACATTAAAGAAGGTTTAAGGAGATTTAATTTTGCAAAGAATGTTAGTTTAGATTTTAGGGCGGATAAATTGTCAATTTAAGCGTAGGCGGTAAATCTATTTAATATTGTAACCTAACCTATAGTATATATGATGGTTTGCACTGTGCACTTATGATAGTTTTTTTTTTCGAAGTTTACTCGGAGACATTTTGTTGTGTCTAAGACGACCAGTATTATAATGTTATTTGAGGACAAAAGTCATTATGACGATTTATTTTCATTAATTTTTACTTTGCGCTTTATACCTTCCACGGTTCTATAGATCGAACTAGTGAAGACTATTGGAAGCTATCAGCGTGAGTTTCCATCACGCGGACGGAGAGAGAATATTAGTTTTGTCGTTGTCAAATTATTCATCGACTGCAGTTGTGTTAGATTGGAGATATATGGTGATCCGTATACTTAAAGTATACAACATAAAGTAGGTAGGTATTGTTACTTTGTAGTTTTGTTATAATATTAATGCGTGTTTCGCTGCCGTCGTTTCGAATTACAAACAATATTGCGGAAAATGTATATTTGTATACTTACAGATTCGCAGCATCCGCCGGTACGGATGAGCAATGAAAACCACTCTGTACATAGATGATGTCATAATAATGATATATAATGATGGACAACAGACCATGATCATATACACTGTAATATTGTGATTTAGCAACCGTCCACGATTTTTTTTCCGAAGAACACTCGATGCGCGCTGAATCGGTGTATTATAAATTATAATATTATAATAAGCTCCGTAAATATTTATATTTTATACAGACGATAGTGGTAAACTATTCTAGCGATTAATTTAATTATAACCGAACTACCCATTCACCTAACTGCTATGCTCTGTGAAAGTGCAATGCATACCTACCTTGTGTGATTAATAATATTGTATTATATTGTTCTGTGAATTTTGTGAGTGCATGGAGTTATTGTTTCGATGAAAATGTTGAATATAAAATCCGCTATGCGCTCGTCACGGCGGTGGTTAATATCATAATACCTATCATTTGCTATCAAATCTATGAACGCGTTACAAATTACAATGCAATGTCGTGATCAAAATAGCCATCTCACTTTCACCTATATTGAAACTTATAAAATTCACAAGTATTTTAAAAAGGCGCACACATTTATGACACCAGTTTGCGTTACATTTTACGTTTGCGATTAAGAATTTTCGGTTGTGTCATTACTGGCTCACTTACAAATATATTCTCAGAATTTGAGTCGTACGACATCGCCCCGTGGATAGGGAATCGTGTCGCATAGGTACGTAGTATTATGTATAATTTACATATAACATGTTATTCGTGTATGGACAAGTAAATTAGGTGGGTAGGCCGTAGGCGAACACTATAAAATGTGTACAACCACCGAAATACTGCTGATGTCCGTGGGTAAACAGACGACGATGACATTTATATATCCACAGAAACATAATATATCCATAAATCCATTTACACATGTCTAAATCAAAACATGATGAACGTTGCCGCATTGTGTAGCTTACGAACTCGCATAAGTATTTGTCTAAACATCGAAACCGAAATATTAAACAATAATATTATTATTTGTTTTAACATATTGCAAGATACGAACAAACCCGTCACACATTTTATACCTGTATATACATATCTATACTAGCAACTATAAAAGCGCACTATCTACTATTATTTATAATGATAGTAATAATATATAGGTAGCCTATTATACTGCATAACAATAGTAAAATAATGACAATGAATACTATACATTATTTCAGTTATACCTGGTTTATTATTTTCAATGTAAGTACGTACACCGTACAAAACCCCTTACGGAATTATATACACAAAATGCGAGTAATGGCTAATATGTCTATAATAATGAGTTTCAAGACGCTAAGGATTGTATGAAACTATATCTTCTTTATTAAAAATTATTTAGAACGCACTCGTTATAAAATTGTTTTAGGTTTTTAAGTATCTAATTATAATTTTTTTTTTAACACGCAAATAACTAAATTCAATTTAATTATATTTTTAAAACATTATTTAGTTTGCAATTTAAAACTTATATTAAAATTTTTTACTTAAATCTTTTGACTATAAGTATTTGATGTAACAGCGATGTCTTGATCATAATTTGTTTATCATAAACACTCCCAAAATTACAAATAAGAAAAACTTAATTTTTTTGTATTACATAATTAAAGTTTTAACAAGTTGTCAAAAATTAACCTTTTAAAATCGATTAACTTTATGATAATTGAAAAAAAAATATTATGTTGTACACTGATTAAAATCTGGGAAAACTGTGACTTTGTGTTATTTTAATACGCAAGGCTGATAATTTAATATAATTGAGTTCTTTGTTTATAATGTTAAAAACTGTATTAAGAAAAGTCATTTTTAAATGGTTTTTTAGTCTTTGGTAATTTTTCTAAGCGTCAGGAAACACTTCCAAAAATGACGAAGCAATAACATATGTTTTTTTCCAAAAATTAATATTGGTTTTTTATTTCAATTAAGGAAGAGATTTTTAGGTTTTTAACTATAATTTAATTTTAGCAGTATTTATGAACACAGAAACGATGTCAATAAAATTTCATTTTGAAATAAGAAGTATATTTATTTTGAAAATCACATACAAGAGATGTGTTGATTTTCAGACTGGATCTGTCCAATTTCAATAATGAACAACATATACTATACCTACTTGTATTTATTATAAGAAATCAAAATATTCAAATGCCTTCATAAATAACATAATATCGAATTAACAATTTGTAGACGGCTATTAAGGTATTTGGTCCCATTTGCGTTGAAAACAGATTAATATAATTTAAAAAGTTTTATAGCTTCCAATACGTAGACGAACTAGATACCCAAACACACCCAACACTCCCCTAGACATGGGACTATAGGACCTGACACGGAT